TTGTTCATCTCATCTTAAGAAAGCATTATTGATGAAGAACTTTGGGAGGTGGTTGTAGGCACAGGCTCAAGTTTGGGCAGGATTGCCTTGATCATTCATTCTGGAAATGATCTGCAAGTTCATCAGTTATGATTGCTTTCACCAAACTATAACTAGGGCTACTATTTTCAAAATCTACTTGTTAGAATAAAATATATATTAATAAATTTTTTTATTGATATAAAATACTATGTGACAAATACTTACCAAGTATTGATTCATGCGATACTTTATAAACTTATCCTTGTATAAAACATTTTTGGATCGGTGATTCAACAAGATGTTATATACTGCCAACATAAATATATAGTAATAGTTTGTCAGAGTTGGTATAGCAACTATACTAAAGACAGATCTTGTAATAATCAAGACCCAAAATACTACTTCATTATTTTGCTTAAAAAGAGTATAATAGCATTTGTTGACTTGCAAACTTTTCTTCTACCAAATTATTTTGGCTACACTAGCAGTGTTTTTAAAGTGTGACAATTTTTCGTGACCAAATACTTTTCAAATTAAAGATCGTATATTTTGCAATGCAGCTTCATAATGGTTTTTGATTTTTTATAAAAGCTAATAAATAAAAAAATGAAAGTTAGTATATTAAAGTAAAAAAAACAAATAAAACAATTTTAAACTAGCAAAAAACAAAACAAAATTAAACAGTTAAAACTAATAAGATACAAATATATACATATTTAAGTAAAGATATTACATACTTGACTATATCAACTTCCATAAAAATTGTTAGTAAACTCATTTTCACTAAGGTTTGACATATACACAGAAAAGTTTTCGTTAAAGTAGCTCTTGAGGGCTTTCTTTAATATACTTTAAGTGAGGTAAATATATAACAGAAAAAGATATTTGACAATGCCTGTATATACGTCCTATGGGAGTTTTATAATGGCTTAAAAAAAGACCAAGTACTATACTATATTATACAAATGAAGTACTTATGTTTAACACTTTCAGAGAAAGGTTTTTTTCATATTTGTTTCTTAAATGCTTAAGTTCATCATTCAATTTGTTGAGTTTTTGGCTATTCTGCTTTACTAAAAGATAAAGCTGCATATTCTGCTTGAACATTAGCTCATCAACTTTTTTTGATAACTAATGCATTCTTATGTTTATTATTGTAAAAAAAAAAAAAAAAGTTCCCAAAAAAAAAAAAAAAAAATAACTCAACTAAGGGACAATCTAGAGATCTGGAGATCAAAAAAAACAACTTATATACTATACTATTATGATCACGTGGTTGTTTCTAATTGGGTGATCATTAATTTCAAGATCAAGATCTAGATTGTGCTTAAAATTCAGATTTAGATTGTGCTTGGAATCCAGAACTAGATTGTACTTAGATTCTGATCTAGATAGCGCTCAGGATTGTGATCTAGACCTTCTTTCTCTTTCTTGCAAATATCATAGCAGCGGTAATAAAAATATATTTTATTTACTAGAACACAATAGTGTTTAGCTGAGTCAATGTTCAGATTGATATTTAGATCTACATTTATTAGTTTGGAAAGATTGGCATACTACTGAGGTATAGTCAGATTTTTGTGATTTTTTATCTTTACTGCTCATTTTTAAAAAAATGCTCTGTATGCTAAAAATGCTATTGTCAGAATCATCATTATCATCATATTTATTATTTGATAGTTGATGACAAGGCATATTCAATTGGTATCAGTTTTGGTCAATACCAACAGTCAAATATGAAGATAAGTTGTAGTTCGAAAGTGTATTGTTATAAGATAGGTTGGTATAAGTGATATACACTATGCTATCCCTTAAACTGTAAACAATTTCAGGCAAATTTGTCTGAAAAATTGCTATAAATTTGTTTATAATTTACTTTTTTTTAAAATTTAAAATATTTAAATAAAATTTTTTTTGATAATATTTGAAAATAAGAATTATATTATAATAATATTTAATTTTATATTATAAGAATAAAAGTTTGAGTTGTTTATAAACTAAAAACAAAAAAATTTAAAAAAAATTTTTAATTAAAAAAATTATTTACAAATTCTTGACAAACTTTTTAAATATTAGTTTTAAATCTATAGTTCTTTATACAATATTGTAGTTTATATAAAGGATAACAATTTTTATTATTATACCTTTGTTAATTTATTAATAAAATTAAGACTTGTATTAGAAACAAAAGTTTTTTTAAAGACAAAAATATATAAAAATATATAAAATTTAAAGAAAAATTTTGTAGTAAAAATTTTTAAAGCAAGAGCTTTAAATTTTTATTACTCTAAAGATTTCTAGTAAAATTAAAAAAAAATTATAATAAAGCTTATAAAATATATTTCAAATAAAATATTGTATATATAAAATATACCCCATATTATTAATAATTTTAATTTTATTTAAAAAATTATAAATACTTTTTAAAATTCTAGTTAAATTTGTCTAAAATATAGTTTAAGAGATAGTATAACTTACATGGTTTGTATATTTTGTTTTCTAAACAATATCTCTTAAATTTAAGATTATTTTTGCATAGTAATATCAAATAAAATTCTAGTAAAAAAAAAATTCTATAATTATTTGTATAATCATAAGAGTTACTAAGTTTTTGATTTAAATTAACTAAAATAACTAGTAAAAAATTCATATTTTTCTTTGTTTTATATATAAGTGAATTACATTTTTTTATCTGATCTATAGCAATCTAAAAGTCTTAAATAACACTTTAAAACTTGAAGAATATACTTGTAAAAAAATATACTCTGGTTATATAAACAACCAAGAGGTTACAATATTACTCTAAAAAAGAATTTTGTATAATTTTATATAATAAATATTATAAAATATAATCTACTAACTAATTATAATTAATCTAATAATCAGAATTAATGACCAATTAAAATAAACTTCTATCATACTAATTTGTTAGCTAAACAAGGTTTCATCAAACCTCTTTTAACAATTTCTTATATATATTTTAATTTTCCTATCTACTTTTTTTAAAACAACCATATTATTATACTCAAAGCATACTTCTTTATTAAAAATATTATTACAATTTAAAAACTTATATTTTAGTTATCTCTCAAGCTTCTCAATAGCTATATATCAGATATAAACTAAAATTTAATATTTAAAATATTTAAATTTCTAGAAAACAACTTTTATAAATATTCTTTTTATATAAAAATATTAACAAACAATCTTTTGACAATACAAAACCTTAATATTTATTATTCAAATTTATATAAAATAAATAAATATTGCATGTGCTTTTTAATTAAAAACTCTCTTTATATACTTTTATATTTCAAAAATACTGAAAATATTTAACAATTACTTATCAATATAACTACTAATACACTTTAACAACTCCAACTTATATTTATTTAACCTATCTTACTTTTAATATTCTTTTACTATCAACAACTAACTTCTTTAATATACAATATAATTCTCTTATTTTTATTATTCTTAGAATATACCAAAACACTATATCAGAAAATTAAAACTCTAATTAAAAAACAAACAAAGTATATATATACTGTATATACTTATTAATTTTTCTAATAATCTCTTATATTAATTTTTTTATAAAATATAATTCAAATACAACTCTTTTTAATATCAATAGAAAATAGCCTGAAATATTATATCTAAAACTAAGTATATTAAATTTTTTACTCTTTTATTTACTAACTAAACAAAACTATATAGCCTTATTTACAATTAATAGACTTATATAATACTATTGAAAAATAATATTTACAAGGTTTTTCTCTAACAATATGCTTTTTATAATATTATGATTAATATCTTAAAGTCTTCTTTAACTTTTTTTAACTAGAATTACTTTATTTATTTAAATTAATAATAGTATTAAATAAAAAATAAAAAATATAATATTATATTAAATGCTTTGTAATATAAGTATAGTTAGAAATCTTTATTATAAAAATCTTTCTAAAACTATATCTTCTTGTTATTAGCTAGTTTTGAGTTAAAAGAATTTGGAAGCCTGGTTAGATAACTTATCTGTCCTCTTATCCAAGTCTTTTTGATAACAAAAAAACTATTAATTTTTAAATTAATTTAGATTTATTATAATAAAGTTTCTACTATAATATTATATTTTTTTAAAAAAAAAGTTTTATGTTAAGCTATACAAATTTAATTACTTGGTTTTTATAACATGAAATTTTAAAAATAGACCCAGCCAGCCGGCTTTTTTTTTTTAAATTTCATATATAAAATTTTATAAAATTTATATAAAAAATTTTTTTAAAACCCACCCGGTTATTAAAACATATAAAAAATTTTTTTTAGAAGTTTTTAAATTTTGACCCAGCCGGGTTATAAAAACCAATTAATTAATTTTGCATGGCCTTATTAAATTACAAAAAAAATTTTATATTGAAAATTTAAAGATCAGGAATTTGTTACACCAATTTTTTTTTTTTGCTAGAAGTAAATTCAACATCTATAGATTATTTTTTTTTAATCTGTTATTTAGTTAATATTCAAAAAAATCATAAATCATAACAAAAAATTTGAGATACTGTATTGCTTTAATGTTAAAATCATGGATTTTTTTGCCAACTGATTTCAAATATAATTTAAATGCGTGAATTAATTTTAAATTAAACAATACTTAAATGTCCCAAGAATAAATGTTCATGAAAAAAAATACATATGTACTAATTTAAAAATGATCTACATGTATATTAAAAAATTTTTTTTTAATCAAAAATAAAATATTGATCTATTGTTTGTAATAACAATATGAACATCATACCTACATTAGTTTCTATACTATGTTAACATATACCAAAACGGTTTTGTTGCAAACTATTCATTTTGTGGATTCTAAAACCAAAACTGTATAGTGTTTGGATCCGTTGAACTAATCTGTTGGATGATCTGACGGATATCCGACTATTTTAATCTGATGGATATTTTTTCAGATAACCACTGGATCAACAAATAGTGCCAGGGGTGATAGCTTAATCGTAATGGTAATAAAACACTTTGACAAAAACAGTGACGTAGTGTTAATTATTAAGAAATAACAAAAGGTTTTTTCGGGTGAATGATTAAATTTCTATTTCATTATTGCTATCCTGTAAATTCCTGTATATGAATAGATTGTGACAACAAAAACAGAAGAAACAAAATAACGAGCTTTTAGTGTAGGAAAATTAGACTTAAAAGTAACTTATGTAATTGAAAATAGCTGAATTAGCAATTTATTAAATAAAGAATTCTTTGTATAAATATTTTAATGTTTTGTCAATATATATATTTATAAGTTATATAAGTCACACTCGTTATAATGAAATGATCGATTCTACTAGAAAATTGAGAATTCTATTAGTAAATGCATTATATCAGAAAGTTTCATATAAATTGGTTTTGAGTTTGACTCACAATAATTATACTTCACTATATTGAGAGTTCATCACGAGAGTGACTTACATATTTTTTTTGTAGACATTCATTTAAAAATAGATTTACCGGATTCAACAGATCTTATCGGATAGTTTATGATCGGGTATAAAATCCAGCAGATTGAGCTAAAAAATAGTCGGATATCTACGGATCCAAACACTACTACTGTATATATATTGTAAGGAGTTTATATACCAGTTATGTTTTAAAGATAAATTATAAATGTTTTAATAAAATAATTATATACGCTAAACTTTAAATATAACGAGCCTTTTAAATAAATACACACTATAGTATTAAGGTATAACGAACCTTTTATAATAAACTCATATTATAACAAACGTTTTTTAAAAAAATTTACAGTATAAAAACGTAGAAAATTATTCTATAATAAAAAATTTTTGTTATAAAAACTGTAGTTTGAATCTACTATACGTATGTAAATGCTAGAGTTGCATAAAATCTTATTGTTCTGCATTAGTGTATTTACATAGTACTGTCCTTATAATGTACCCGGGTATTATAAATAGCGTTATACCCGTCTCTGTGTAAAATACCCCCTTTGTATAATACCCGGGTACAACTTTGATTTTGGCCGTGGAATGTATCGTACCCAGGGTACTATAGTCCGTGCTGTACGGTAATAAGCTTTTCTTGATTAATTCGTTAAGATTTGCGAAAAATAGCTGGAAAAATTCGAAATCTGAATTTAATTTATTTTCTATATACCTTAATTTTTTGTATGTTCCTGGCAAATTTAAAACGTTAATTACATAAATATGGTCAAAGCCGAGTAGATTAAGTTCAATTTCTTGTTTATTTATTCACTAAACATTTCTTTGATTTAAAAGCATTCAAAGTTATATTTTTATTTTTTGCAAAAAATAATTATTAACCATCAATAAATGTCATCTATTATTTATTAATATGGGCTAAATCTGCTAGTTTGCATTGTTATTTTACCAATACGTTTAATTTTACCATCATTAAATTCGAGATTATCGATTATAACATCACCGAAGTTTAAATAACTTTCATTTTTTGTATCTTCATAACATCGTTCGATAATTTCTAAAAGATCATCGTTGGTGCATAAAAATATTTTAGAATTCGCTGCTTGGTTCAAAGATTCCCTTTTATAACCCATGTTCGTCACGAATAAACCGATTACATTAGTTGATTGAGTTGACATGTGATTAATGAATCGTTGAATTTCCTTGAAACCTATCTTGTATTTTTCTCGCCAGTTTGGACACAACACGAAATCTAAGGTTTTATATTTTACGTTAACAAGAATGAAATCGTCTCTTATAGTAATATGAGTTGACATTCCCCGTAGCAGACGTTTAGTGAGCATATTTGCGTATAGTTCATTCCTCTCATTGTTTGATAACTATATATAAAAAAAAAAAAAAAAATCGTAAATATAACATATTTTATTGCACACTCCCTATGCCAATAGTCATGGCCTCGGAAATATGAAGGTCTACATTGGCGATTTCTCAGGATGGTCACCCAAGACTCACTCCAACAGCGTAACTTACACCTTCATAATGCTAAATAAATCATATTTTGCAAGAAACCTCTCTATAAAACCTATTTCTTATGGCACACTCCCTACGCCAATGGTCATGGCCTCGGAAATATGAAGGTCTACATTGGCGATTTCTTAGGATGGTCACCCAAGACTCACTCCAACAGCGTAACTTACACCTTCATAATGCCAAAATAGATTATACTTCATCAAGAAAATCTCACCTTCTCGTGGGATATGAAGTCGAAGAGGAGATTCGGTTCGTCGTATAATACCTATATAAAAAAATAAAATAGTGAATACGACCTATAGCAATCTCACTACACACTAATGGAAATAAACTCAGAAATATAAAAGTCTACATTAGCGATTTCTTGAGATGGGCACCCAAGACTCATTCCAAACGTAGCTTACACCTTCATAATGCTATATGAATCATATTTAGTGAGAAAGCTCACCTTTTCAGAATTTGTGAAGAGCCCATCATTCTTATACAAACACGAGAAAAGCACGGAACGAGGATCTTCTACAAGCACAGGACGACAACAACAAAGCACGAAATGCGCGAAACAACAACAACCTACAAGCACGAAACAACAGACTTCTACAAGCGCGAAACAACAAACTTCTACAAGCACGAAACAAACTACAAACGCAGAACAAAAAAGTTAAAAAAAAAAAACACACGTTTATATACCAGATACGTTATATCATCAGTACGTCATTTTATTTTACATTATTTATACAGTTTAAAGTACATTTTAGAAGAAAACAATACAATATTTGGGCTGAAGAAATTTTTTCGTCAGAGTTACGTCACATCATGCAGCACATGAAAACAATTTTCTATGATGTTTTTCCTAAAAAAAACATCTGCCATATACCAGATACGTTATATCATCAGTACGTCATCCTTGTTTACATTATTTATACAGTTTAAAGTACATTTTATACAAAACAAAATTATTTTTAATAGTAGAGTCCTACACCCTAATAAAACTTTCAATATTCCTTTTTTGTTTATTCGTAGTATTATTTTTTTTAAAAAGTACTTTAAACTGTATAAATAATGTAAAATTAAATTGATTTAAACAGCCAATCATACGAATGTCTGCCTATGAATATACAACTAATATGGAAAACAAACTGCCGGCAACAGGCCATTAGGCGTTGATCACCATCCAAAACCATTAATTCAGATCCGGTTCCGGTTCGCCGTTACGCAACGTGAGAAACAAGAGGAGCATGTTGCCAGTATGCTTTCCATATTAATTGTACCCTTTACAAAAATATACTAGTTAAACTCATTTAAAATAACCATGTTTAACTAAGGCAAGTTGAAGTACTAGTCAATTTTTTAACAACTGTATACTGTATACTGCAGTAAAAACTCTGTATCTGTACCATTATATCTACACGATTTCCCTGATTTCCCCTTGATTCCCTTGAAATCGTGCAATTTCTCACGATATGATGGTGCATATCTTTTTGAAACAGCCATCAAAGAAAAACCTGTCATCGGGCTTTCTATTATATTTGTTTACCAATTGGATAATTATTTTTGAACCCGGACCAATTTTATATATGATGTAATGACATTTTGGTCTTATTTCAAAAATAATTACCCAATTAGCCATCTATGAAAAATCTATCATGATAGATTTTTCATAGATGGCTAATTGTAAACAAATATTATAAAGTCCGATGACAAAAGTTTTACTTTGACGACACTCATATATATTATAATCTATAGCTGTTTCAAAAAGATATGCACCATCATATCATATGGGCGAAAATCTCCAGTTGAAACACAATGATTATTAGATTTAAAAGTAATTAGGTCACAATTAGGTACATACGTACAAAATTTATAAGCATCAGGTTACAATCAGGTACAAATTTGAGTAAAATTCATAAGCGATTCATCATACAATCTCTGAAAAAATCACTTTTATTCTCAATAATCATGCCATATCACATAAATGATTGGCTCAAATTTTATTTAACCTAATCACT